ATATTAGTTAGGAACAAAAATGATTGGACGACTTCTGTAAGTTTCTTATGAGGCGAATTTTTACTAATTAAGAATGGTTTCCGTTGGGAGTAATTCTTTTGAAGCCCTTCTGCTTTCGCATTTTACTGTCTTGATTAGTAACTTGTCCACAATACAACTCAATTAAACCTCTAACAAGGTATGATTGATACCAATTGGTCGATTGACATATTATGAGATGAATTTGTAATCACACACTATTATAGAAAAGCAGAAGTATTCCAATGAACTTAACGCTATGCGATTAAGTTTTACAATAAAATTAGTTTTAATTTCAAAATGATTCAACTCTATATAAGATTTCTCGTCATTAGATTCAATATAAACCAAATTTCAAGTAGAATCAATTTTGATTTTCATTTAATGTATTCTTGAAAAGTTTGACTAATTTGAATTTAATTGATCAAGAATAAGAGTAAGAAAAGTGTTATTGTCAGTTTTCATCGATAAAATTAACATCGATACATACATATATGACAGCAATTCAATTGATTATGATATTGAAAACGACCAAGCTGTCACTTTCTTTTATTGATAGTAATCAATTACCACTCAAGTTATGAAAAATTCTAACACTGATGACTATCATAACTAGACTGATGCAAAACAAAACAAATATGAATACGTCATATGTCGTGATCTATTGAAAGATGTACTAAGCAACTATATTTATTTAATAAATAATTGCTTCTACTTAGAAACGTGCCATCTTGAATGTTTATCTCAAAATTGATGTGAACAGCAGCTAATTTTGTAATTCAAACATGTAACTCATTCGTTTTCTAATAAGTTTTATAAATTATAAAGTTTAAATATAGTTCAATTTATATATCTTCAGTTATAATATTTTTATCGGTATAGTCAAAAATATTTCTCATATCCATATCTTAAATACCTTTTCGAGATTGCATAACAATATTTATAAATAGACAATAATAGCATAAATGATTATTTAATTTATTTTGTTTTATATTTATTATTCAATAAATTAATTAGAATACTTGATGTGTTTTATAAAATGATTTTATATATGAATTAATAGATATAATGTTTATTAGTGATAGTTAATAGAAGAATAATTCATTTCGTTATTTTATTTTGAATAATCATTTCATAATTATTTTTTGCAATAATATTTATAACATTCAAATAATGCTGAGCCAAAAATAAGAAGTACACCAGCAATATAAAGAAACGTTATTCGTTCTTGATATGTCAATAAATAATAAGATGTTGAACTTGGTGTATACTTTAATGAAATGTAACTAGGAATGACATATAAATCTTTTTGTAATAAACTTGATGTTTCAGTTAGTAATTTAGATTTTATTGTGCTGTGAGTATTGAAAAGTTTACTATTAAAATAATCGGATGACAATGGTTTCGAAAAAAAACTACTCGAACACATTTTTACATTCATTTGACACAGAAAATGTTTAGATTGACGTGTTTTCAACTGTGATAAAGATGTTGAACGAGTTACATTTGTTGCCAAAGCTACATTGGGCACAAATAGTAAAAACAACCAAACAAGAAACATTTTTAATAGTTAATGTATGCATATTTTTTTACTGCTAGTGATAAGAAAATATTATTTATTATATGAAAATACAAATAGATGATTGATTACATCGTAGCAAGAAAATGCTTTATCTGTACTCGTCTAACTTCAATAACAACAGATAGTAATGTATTACAGAAATACCAATGAGTTAACAAGCGATTGCAAAGCTGACGTATTTTTAATAACGTATCTTATGTCGAATGTTTTAATTTTGAGAGATTTCTAGAACGAGAAAAATAGCGACAGAAAGATATTTGTGATTGCATGAAAAACAGTATGATTCTAAAGAAATCAGAAATGATAGATTTGCAATTATATCCACTTTTGAGTCTTTCTACATCAATACGTAGCATAATAACATATCCTATTTTTTTCTTGTATACTTTGCTCTCTGAACTGTATTTGTTATTTATGGTTAATATTTCATGCAATGCAGTAAAGTCTGTACTTTCTTGCTATATATTGATTGTCGAAAACTAAAAAAACAAACTCCAGCAATTTTAATAAAGAACAACAATCGGAGAAGATTCAATTGAGATGCGCTGTACTATTGATCACTGTCCATTAATGACTCACTCTATAGATTGAATATTGATGCTAATGCATGATTATCATAAGGATATGCAGTCATCTAGAACAAATAAAAATTGTAAAGATTTTCGAATCGATCATCATATCATACTACACACGAGCTAAAATTTAGCTACACTGACCCTTTTATCAACTTACATGTTACATATGTTGTGCTAAATACATCCTTTATATAAGCTCAAAAATAATAATACTAAGGTGTTCAATGTTCGAAAAATATTCTCATGATCTGTGTGCTAAGGACTATTGAGTATTTTATATGTTTGATCATATTTCTGTTTTTCCAAAAGATTACATTTAATAATCGAAGTTCAGTGAAGATGTAGAATAAGCGAGGATCCTGCTTGTATTCAATGTATACTATTGACCAATCACATTCATTAATACAGAAAATCTTTTCTATGCTGTGTGTAACATTTTTGCGTAGTATTATTTTAGTTTCTAACAGCTTTCCTTATTGTTATGACTATATCTTTCATTATTAAGATGCATATATATCTTATTATCTTTTTTTAGGTTAGAACGATATTAGTTATAATAGAGACCGATTGAATTTATTTCTTTTCCTTTTTACTATCATACTGTATTTATTTCTCCCACATATTTTATGCAGCTAGAAAACGAAGCCATGCACTGCATCGTATGTTATAGTTATTTCCTACAAAGTACATTCACATCGACAATATATAAGAAAGAAAATTTATAGTATAGTCAATAAGAGTAACTATTTTATCAATAAACTCAATATGTTCTGATACATTAAGGATTTATGTTGCTAATTTTCTCTCTCTTTCGATAATCAATCACAGAGTTGTGATAGTTAATAGTACAAACAAAGTTTATTCCTGCTATTCAAAATACACATTGATAAGATCTTGTAAATATATTCTTTATTCAAATCTGACACGAATATAAAATTTTAAAAGGGAACTCAGATATAGAGAAATAAACAAATGAAAGCGGCAAAGTGATATGATATAGACTTAAGGACTGACACTATTTTACAGATTGATACATCTAACAAAACAAAAAATATCAAAGTCTGTAGAATTTAATATTATTCAAGTTTTCATTGATATAATAGTTTTTGTCTTCTTTTATTCTGTCAGTTATCTTGGTAAATAGAGTTGTGCTTAAATATAATTTGCAGATTATTTGATAACTTATTGAAATGTTATATATTAATAATAATACTAATCAATATAAATCACAAGAGATATTTACTTAGCTCACAACTCACATTGCAGAAAATAAGCATGCAATTTTGTTTTCTAGTATAATTTTTATCTCATCAAACTTGATTTATTCCTCAAAGCGGACATGTCATAAGATGCAGTGCATTTCATACTTTTTCTTTTTGCATTGAATAATGTCAAAAAAAAGCCAGAGTATGGTAGTGGGAAAAAAGAAAAAGAACACATGGAAGAGCTTTCGATTGACTGTGATCACATGTTTAGTTTTTTCTGCGTTTTTCGCAAACACATAAACTATGATAGCAGCCATTATGAAGAACATCATGATAAACAGCACCAGGACCATAATAGCAACCTGTATGGCGACGTTGCCAACCAGCTTCTTGAAAACCAAGATTATGTTCACCTGTTGAGGTCGACTTACTTTAGAAATTATGAATTTATCATTTGATTAAGAATCATGTGATAAATGAAGTTTATTAAATAAAATTCTGTTCCTCTATTTTGTCATTTCAAAAAACGATGTGAGGACTTAGTAATATCAACAAAGATCACTTGACAAATGAGTATTCCTAACCATGTTTGTATTCGTTTATTTTGTTGATGTTTAGAATGCATATTTTTCCAACTGATCAATAATTGCATAAAAAATGAATAATATCAACAAAAATAGTTCTATTCATTTATTCCATCGACTGTGCAATCTAAAATATCAATTTTTAACGTGACTAATAAATACTAGTATAGGAATGACAATAACCAAGATTTTATTCACGTATCTTGTCATCTTTCAAGATTATATTTAGATTGGTTTATTTGATGGGAGATTACATGGTACAGAAATAAAGATAACGACTACCTTTATCCCAATACCAATCACGACATTTGCCACAAATGGGACAAGCTCGTCCACCACAATCAAGTTGATATGTATTAGACGATGACATAATTGGTTGCCGGTCTAAATAAACATAGATATGACTTTTATAATAGCTGAAGAAATACAAGCAACTGTGACTTCAAATACCAGATCAATTCTACTTTCATGGATTTAAGTCTGCAAAAAAAAAATGAAACTTACAATTCAGCTTACAAAAACAACTACGCTATGCGTATTAATTTTGATAACAAATTTCAAATATATTTAAATCAATGCAATCTACTATTATTTAAGACAATTTTAAATATTTCAAAAAAAAAAGAGAAGTACAAAGCTTCTCTAGTTTCTTGACCACTTCTACTGAAGAAAAGTTTTTATATTCAGATTGAAAGTAGCACTTTTAAACTTCTCTGAAATATCGAAGGAATAATTTTCAAAGAAAGATTTTTTGAATTAGTTTCTTGTATTGTCAAAATATCACATTACAAAATTGTACATACTTTCTATTTCGTAAAATTTTAGATATAAGACATCTAGTATAGATTAATTTGGCATATAGTTGCAATTTCAACCGTTCAGAAGGTGACTATGAGAAGTTTATGTTTACACAATCATTTTGATTTATTTTCTTTTTCTTCTCTACGACAGAAAGAAACAAAATACTTGTTTTTAATAGTGTTTTTCTTATATCAATAACAAGAAGAGTGGAGTAACTAGAGCAACATAAACAAAAATGATTTTTATTAAATGCTACTGCCGCCTCTTCACGTATATTCTTTCTATTGTTATAGTCAGGAGTATAGATTCAAGTCATATTTATAATATACCGTAGAACTGTATTGGTATCAACCACAAGTTAAAAACTAAGATTCGTTCGACGAGATATTCTATCATGAAAGGAAAAATCAAGTAAAAAAATGAATGGTATCATCTAAAACTGTTCATGATTTCTTTCAACATTTCCATTATCTTAAGTACAAGAAATATTATGATACATTTTCTAGTACTTGATAAGCTAAATGAAAATAATTGCAATTTTTATCGATCTACAGTTATTAGTTTTTTTTTACCGTGGTTAACCATTGATATTTGCTGGTTCACAAAGGGTTACAAGTAATTTTTTCGAATGAAATCGATCGCTTCTGTTTGATTTTGAACTACAAGAAATTGTCGTTTTTTTCAAAAATTTTTACATGTTCACATTTTCCCCACAGCTTGACGTGCATCAGTTTACGTCAGTACTTTGAATTTACTTGAAACATCAAGACATCAAGAAAATATCTCTTTACCTAGATCCAGTTTAGTGCTTCCTCCTAATTTTTAATTAGCTACAACTGGCGAATCAATTTCTCTGCTCTAGTGCCTGTTCACTCAGGACTCAAAATACGCTGACATAAGTATTATTTTGACTATTGAGCTTCTAGCACCGTATATATATATATATATATAATCTGAGAGCTGTATGATCAACAAACTCTGAAAATATTCATTTTGCAGTGACAAATATTGTCATTTTAGTTTTTCTGCTCATTTCACTACTAAACGTGTACACATACGAGAGTGGGTGAGTTTGAATGTAGAGTGCAGATGTTTAGTTGGATCAGGATGTTGAGAAGAACCATACCTACATTCATATTCACACTCTTAGACTTATATCTGCGCCAAAACTAACCAACTACAGAGATGTTCCGAAGCAATGAAAGTGCTTCGTAAGCTATATGTGACCACATTGCAAAGCAAATGACTGCAATAGATTATAAACGATGGAAACGTTTTTAGTACGTGTTCGATTGAGCTCACTTTCAGATTTCTGTTCGAATACTTTCTTAGTTATTGTTATGTTGATCAATACAACGCATACCAATATGTTTCAAAACCTTCTTTAAATTTTGCATAAAATAATTTAGCCGAGAATCGTCTTTTCGTTCAAATATTTATAAAATCAATAGATGAAAAAATAAAGCATTTTAATCGAAACTATTTTCAAAAAGCTTCAGTTGTATTTCCAAAGAGATACAAACAACCAACATGACGAAACCACTTTAACGATGATGAAGAACGGAGTGTGTAGAGTGAAACAAAGACTCTCAATGTCATCGATATCTATTCCTAAACTTTCCAACTTTCGGTCGTAATTCATTTTCAGAGTGTGGATGTGGTTGAACGGAAGACATACACGCTCATACCCGATCGAGGCGATGGATCGGCACAGAACTAAAACAGCGTTCTTTTCACATATAACAGGTAACTGGTATTATCATTTGAATCAGTTCGGCACTGAAAGTTCAGTAAGATAAATGAGCTTGTGCAAAGCAATAATCGAACTATCTGTTGTTGATGATCTGCAGTGCGCAAATGCAATTACGTATTGGCATCTATCGACACACGATCAATGTAGAAGCTATATAATTCTCAGTTTAAGACGTTTTTTCGTTCTTCCCAGGTCGAATTCACCCTGTCGAATCCGATAGAAATTCGCCGGAATTTGTCGGAATCCTAACCACAGGATTCCAACAAGTGGTTCTGGATGTCGGAAAGTGTCGGAGTTTCAGGGATTTCGCAGGATCCTGATTATTACGACATCCGGAACCTCCTGTCGGAATCCTGTGGCTAGGACGCCGACAACTTCCGACGAGTTCCCGTCGGATCCGTTAAAATCCGGTAATTTTTCCGATATAATCCGATATAATCCGACGTAATCCGACAGTCGGATCGAATCACCTGGGTTGGTGGAAAACGTCGAAAAGGAAAACGTCGAAAAAAAGATAAAGAGAACTTCCATATATGGATATTTTCTTTATCTTTTTTTCGACGTTTTCCTTTTCGACATTTTCCTTTTCGACGTTTTCCAACAACACCGTTTTTTCAACGGGTGAAGACGCATTCACCTGACATAAAAGAGACAAAGTAGATTCTTCTAAACCTCTGAATCTAGAAAAAGAAGATTTCAACTTAGTCTTCAACATTTTATTTAAAAAACTGATATCCAACAGAAGCACTTTGAGGTTTCGTTCTTTTTTTCTTGACTAATTTTTTGTTCTATGTCATCATATTATGATTCATACGTTCTTATGACTCGATCACATGAATTTAGTGAATGACAAAGCCTGCTGAAAATGATTTGTCTGTCCTATATTTGTCACTTTCACTAAATTTTTTGCACAATGAATCTTGCTCTCGATGATTCAACCATGAAACATCAAAGATCTTTAGATTCTTCATTATGTTTGTGTAAATAGATTTTGCCTTTCTGCATACCTATCCATTTATGCACTCGTGCTGTGACTCATTAGATTGATTGCATCCCGCTGGTGAAATTCTCATAGAAAAGAGAGTCAAAGTCACTGATATTCTGCATTTAACAAATCTACAACTCTGGTTGAAGGTTAGTCAAAAAAAGATATCGCTCGAAATCGTCCAGAGATTTCAAGTTTTCTAACAAACCACATACGAAATTAAATATTCATGTGCGCATTCTTTCGATCAGCTGAACAGAACTGGAATGTTGGCGGTAGTAGTGATGAAATATGGAATGGATGGCATCACGTCAAATCTGAAGATGATTTTTGGGGATGCGGCAATAACTTTGCAATGACTCTACAGAAAGGTATGCCATTCACACCCACCTAGAATAGATCTTGAAACAGAATTAGTGATCGGTGATCACCTTCCAAACGTGTTGGATTCGATGTGCTCTAATTATTTTTCTTGTATTACAGGCGACATGCAGTGCACGTATGGTGCTTCGTACTACCACCCAAGTTTTAATCTAATCAAGCTTAATGGAAAGCCAGCGAGCGGTGACTTTCAGTACGATCGGAGCAAACCTAAAGCAGAAGTGTACAATGCATTTGTTGCCTTTATTGAAAGCCAAATCGCTGCTCAGAACACATCAACATAAAATTTCTATACTATTCAAGAACACATCGAAGCAAGTGTCGCATATCTAACAATTGTATAATTAACGGAGTTCAGACACAAAATCAGCAAGAAATAAAAAAGGCATCAGATTGATAACGATAGAGAATAGTCGTTAAGTTTATAGATGGGTAGTTCTCGTGTATTTCATAGCTCTAACGGAAACGTTTAGGATATTATTTTATACTAGGAATCAAGAACAAGTTCACTCAGTCATAGATGAGTGATTTCGGTTCGAGTATGAGTGTAGATCTTATCTTCATCCACCAATGCCCATATAAACACGCACCCTGTCGATCATTGCATTAGATAACAAAACTTGGATTTCTTAATCTTTTTCTAATAAGAGAAGTTTGTTAAAGCATATGCAGATTTATTATGCGTAAACACTTTTATTTTTCAATATCAATCATCATTTGAATTGAATACGAATTTGGAAAAATCGTCAACCGTTCTCCGATCGATAGGTCATGGTCTATAGTTGCGCATTTACTTTCAATCGAACATTCTGAATCAATTGTACGAAAATTATTATCATCTTTTTTGTACGAAAATCGTCCATTTATATTTGGCGACCAGACTAAAATAGAATAGTCAGTGTTTAGTTCGGCGATGATTGGAATCGTTGTCCATTTCATAGTTATATCATTTGAAATAAGAGATGCTTTGTTGACAATGATACCAGAATTATTTACTACGTAAATAAATACTTGTCCATGTACTGATGCTTCTAATTGTACGGATCGAATTTTCAACGGATTTTTTAATCGGAATACATAGCCACGACCGTAAGATGCTTCATACGCCCAAGTTGAACTTTCACCTAAATGTCTTGATAAATCCAAAAACATATGGTTCTTCTTTTCTTCAGCACCATCTGGAGTTAATACAACATTCTCAGTCGTAATAACACCGTATTCAGCAATTGTTTGTTGCAGATCTGTACTCACATTGAAACTAGCTTTTGCAAGAGTGCATCTTTGTTCAAGTCGTCGAAATTGTTGATTGATTTATTGATCATAATCTAGTAAAGTTTTTTTCATTTTCATGATCTGAATGCTATCATTGTTATCGAACATTTGTTGCACCAGAACCTCTCTTGCCTTTATTGTCTTCAGTTGTTCATTAATATCTGCTTGATATTTTTCTAATATTGATGACTCTTCTGCTCGGAAATTGTCCAGTTGCCGCATTAATTTTGTTTTTCTTATTTCTAAAAACGACTGTAATTTTTTAAATGTTTTATCTATATCTAATTTGGTTGCTGTATAATGCTGATGCTGTTCTTTTGTAACACTATGAGTTGTCGCTGCAGCTTTCTCGAGATTTTGTCTGATAGGTTGTAGTGATGATTGGATTTTCGACTTTGTTTCTTGCACAATATCTTGTAAACCAGTATACGTATGATCCTTGTGTTTAAATAAAAGACAATCCCGACAAATATGATTTTCACATATCATACACCAAAGTTTTATTTTTTCATCTGGATGATCTGAACATGTGTTTGGAAAACGCTTTTGATTAGCAGACACAACAGCATGATTTTGATGGACTTTCTGTGAATGAATTTTTGTTGAACAGGTGGTACACAAGTAGCTCTCACACTTTTCACACCAATATTCCCATCGGTTGACAGCACAATTCTCACATTTCGAGTTAGCAGTATCCTGTGTCATGTTGGACAAAAATTCAGACATGTCTTTTGCTGTACGATTCATGGGTAGTTTGACGATATATTCTTCCTTAATAGTGGGCAAGCAAATTAATTGCTTGGGTGTGCATGTGGGTTATATTATTTATATCAGAGTCATACTCACACCCAAATTAATAATAAGAAGAATAGTAGTAAAATTAATAGACTGTTCATCGTGCTTCAACTTCCATATAGAAAAGAAGCCCGTAGTATTGAAATATTCTATCAAAAATTCACTAAAAAGACGAGTAAAAAAAGAATAAAACATATTCTGCAATGCATATGCTGAATTACATATGCTAACTTGAGTTGAGTCACAGCTCAGTTAGTGTTTGTTTTTAGATTCATTATCTGACTTTCTTACGGTTAACAATCGTTTATATACACATTATCTTGTACACTATAAAGTTAGTCGAGTCGCAACTCTTCTGATTACAAATTGATAAATTTCGTGGAAAAAGTCGCCAATTGGCAAATACAGTAATGTAAAAATATTTGTTTTTAAATGGCGAATGTCACACTAGTAATTCGCGAATGGCGAAAATACTGTTGACCAAACTCACAATTGGCGAAATTACAGAGAGTTGTTCGAACATACCGAAAGTGATTTCAATGCTAGTGCTTTTTTTTTACTTCTGCGTGGTCGGTTCTCAAGTTATATTTCTTGGTTAAAGGAGAATAACGATGTCAACGCTTGTAACCTCAACCATCTCACCCGTCCTAGTATCACATCTTCTGATATGGAACAATGATCTTGAGGTTGATTTGGCTCTTGAATTGAATGAGAATATTTCTAGCGGTCTTTTTGGTGCAACTTGAGACATACATATATTCAGCGACTAACACGAGAATTGTGAAGCCATCTATTTAAGCCAGGATAGTGAGAGCAAACAATCTATCGGAAAAAGCAACTGATTTATGAATTATTACCTCAACAAGGTATTTTTTTCTTTCTCCTACCTATCTGAAAGACTTTTCTGTGATAGATAAATAGGAAAGGTAATCAAAGTCACCTATGAGACGGCGACATATAGTGATAGATGCATTAGGATAGCTTTCACTAAATAAAAAATGATGACGTTGATCACTTTTCTGTATGAAACGAGTGAGAGACTCAATGGGCAGGACATCAGTCTCTTCTGTTACCATGATTTCCGTTCATATCGATGTCAATCTTTATAGTTGGATGCTTCTCTCTATTCTCTTTTTCTCTCTTCATACTCAATTCTGATCACCCTTATTGTGGCAAATATTGTATTGATAACGCGCTTCAATTACAATGGCATTAACTTTGAGCTCGCAATCAAGAGGCTGGGAATGCTTATGATTTCTCTTTGTAAGCACTTACGAGCATAGGAACAACGCGAGCTAATTTAAAAACAAGTTGAATGTATCAACCAAATAGTATAATAATAGAACTCAGTTGACTTGTTGTAAAATTTTCAAACAAACATATTTTCCATTCATGTCATGTATTGAAATAGAAACATGACGTCAAGGGAAAAAAAAAGCAATGTATACAATAGAACATGCATGTCTAAAATAAAATCGCTTTTTACGAATTATATTGTGGTTTCCGATGATTAGCATAAGCAAATGGTGATACTCGTTCTGCATAATGAAGATGTGGGCCAGTAACTTGCCCTGTGTTTCCACTTTTGGCTATTTCTTGTCCAGCTTTAACTTTATCACCAGCTTTCACCAATTTTTTACTTAGATGTGCATATAAATGTCGAACCGATTTGCCATTGGCATCTTTGGATTCAATTATGATATGTATTCCTAAACCTGCACCCCAGTTTATATTTTTAACAACTCCATCTCTGGTTGCTACCACTTTTGTTCCAATAGGACATGCATAGTCAGCTCCTGTATGATAACCAAGTACCCAAAGCTTACCTTTCACTCCATATGCCGTTGTAACTTTTCTACTAGGAACTGGTGATACACTATTTGCCTGATAAACAATAAAATGAATAAGAACAACGACAATGAATATATTGTGTTTGATAGTCATTTTTTTCACTTTTTCTAACAAACTTACAAAAACATAAAAATCTTGAATATATATAACTGAAATATACGGAGTGATTCCATCTGCTCTTATCAATGTCTCATAATGATAAGTACATCACATAGTCAATTGATATTTGACTGAAAACAATACTTAAACTAATAATCCTGGAGTATTCTATTTCAAATAGCATATCAATAGGCTTTCACTAAAAAGGAATAGGCCATAAATTAGAAGTTAAGGAAGGCCATTTCGAAGCTTCATGATTAGAAACACCATTCTTATCAACGACAAAGTGTGTGTGGGTGCGTGAATATGCTTGTAGGTGTCAAGATTTAGTCTTCCATCTACATTCCAACACATAAACCCCTGTATCTGCTGGTGTAGCTGTCATTCCTTTCAGCCTCAGTCTCAAGAATATTAATTATTGGAGATTTACAACATGCTTTGATGATTTAAAATGCAAAAGAAGAAAATGATGTATATTTAAAAAATTGTGTGATGATCGAACATTACTCAGAGCTTTTGCTCCCGTCGGTTTCGTTTCTCGGCCAATTTTCATCATTGTTTGGTAATATTACCTCGATTGATATATCGAGTATATCTTCTCGTTTTTTAAACTTTTAATGACCTTCTCAATATCACATTGATTTGTGCCACAATTCTCCATCGATACGCTTTTTTAGCAGTAAGCAACGTGCCGATCGTGTTCTTGATACTGTATGAGTTGTTTTCTTGATTTATCAAGTGAGCTACTTTTTTTCACTCACAATTGCGTCTCCACCGCGTTTCATTTCTTAGTGATCCTTGTGCTCATTCTCATGTTTTCTAGTAGTAAGCCCTGATACTTTTTTGGTATTAATAAATACATAAATATGCTTAAGTAGGCTGAGTAATGCAGTTAGTGCATGAACACATTGACGTTTGGCGAGAAAAAAATTGAAGACTTTCGAATGCACACAATAATTACATGTATGTCTATGAAGTACATGGAACATTTTAGGACCTAATGAACGTATGAAAGATTTTACAAGAAAATATGGAACCTTCGAATAGTCTACGAAACTATCAATTTTTTCGTATAAAGAATACGGAACACTAAAACAGCCAATGAAGTGTCAAATTGATCTGTATAAATATTGCGAAATTCTGGGATACTCGACTCAACTATTGACAGTTTCTCAGGAAGAAGACGAAATCTTTATATGGATAACAAACCTACGAAAGATTCTGCCAACATACTACGAAACCTTCTGACTATCTAAGAAGTTATATATGGTACAGTTCGTGATGCTCGAAACTACTAACCGATCTGTGAAACTCTTAGGAAGTTTCCATTAAAATACTACGAAATGATTTCTATACAACTGAATCTGGAATATTTCAGTAAAAAATTTCGGAAGTTTTGAAGTTCAGTATTAAATCTGCTTTCCTAGAGTATAATGACTACTTCTGCAGATATCAGAGGCCGCCTAGGTTCAGTCGTTCCATAATTCGATCTGGCCTGATGCCTGCATTTTTTCTTTTACCTTATGAATAGCTGTATTCACCTCTTCTTTCTAGTCTGGTTTACTAGACTCTCTTTGAAAACTGCTGCAAGATAAATATGCAGACTTTAATGACCTATCAATCGAGATTATGCAATTGAGGAAGGTTTGGTAAATGATTATTGCAGAACGCCGATGTGCATGTTTTCTTCGCCTACCCATTCTTACATGAACTTTCATACATCCTTAGTACAATTTTTATTTGGAGCGTCAAGTTTTAGATGAGTTTTCCCTTCCAACAATAAAACATTCATTGCCTAGATATTTACTACAACGCACTCTTCGTGAAAAAAACCATCAAGCTCTTATCCATAGCAATCAAAATACAGCAACTTCAAAAAACTGGTGCATCAACGATTTAAAAAAAAAAAAACTAATCCAAGAGTTTGACGACGTAAGTTGTGTTGGTTAGAAAGCAATGGTGTGAGCCTTCTCTTTACTTGCATCCACCCACCATTAATTTAAATTCCAAAACTGTGGCCTTTTAGACTAAGAAACATTGATGCAGTCAGTGTATGTATTAAAGGCTAACATTACCATTTACAATCCATCAGTGAAATTTGTTTGCATAAATTTGTTCATACAATATCTTTCGAA